TTAACACGAAATTACAGTTACAAATTGATGTGGTCGTGCCTAGATAATTAACCCTTTATAAAATACCCAAACCAATTTCCCTTGATGCTCGTCCTTAAATTAAATGTAAAATGCCTTAATTCATATAATTTTATGTATCAGACCCAAAGAAAACCCAATTTCCCTGATACCCATCCCTATCACTCAAATATAAAATTAATCAAATATAATTCAATATCTCCAACCCAAACAATGATCAAGGAGATATTAATTAAGGTGTTTTTGCTGGTTGGATAGTTATTAATATGTTTCCTCAAGCAAATGTTTCTCAAAAAAAAATTCAAGGAGATATTTGTTATTTTTCTTTCATTTTAAGATTTCGTCAACTGCAAGTAAGTGCAGATAGCAAGCAGTCAGAGCTTCAAAATGATTTAAAGCTGAAGCAGTTTGAAGTGGACCGACTTCAGATTGTTCTAGATGAGACTTCCAAGAACTTAAATCAAACAAAACTGGATTATGAAAAGTGCAACAAAAAGAATGAGGTAACTTTGCATAACTGGATTTTTCTTATTCAACCACTTTTTATTGGGCTGCCTTGGCTAAGGGTGTTTCTCTGTTTCCATCATTTTCCTCTATAGGTTCTGAGCAAAGAATTCTACGCTCTACAAAACACCAGCGATAAACGAGTTACCTCATCTGAAGCAGAAGTGAAAGAGCTRAAAGAAAAATTACATGTGTACGAAAAATTGGAACAAGAACTAGATGATGTGATAATGCAAGCTGCTGAAAGTAAGAGAGGAGCACTATCTACCTTAAGGGAAACATGAGCAAAGGGCTTTATTTTCCTTCTGATAATTTTTGCTTCTTAGCATGATTACTGCAATTTCCAGTCACACGTGACCAACTGACACATAAATCAAAAACGACAAATTTAGTTTTATTCGACGTCAATCAAAAGGGTTTCTTAAACATGTCTWAGGTCATTCCGACTCCGAATTTCAAACACTTAACTGCAATAGYTTTAACCGATAGCTTTGCAATCAAGCGTTTTAGATTTGGAGCTGGAATCCTCTGACATTTTTGAGAAAATATATCYCGAGCGAGAAGTTCACAGCGACAAGAAGCATGAGTTAAGGGCAACGGTGTTTGCACGTGTTTACGTGAGTATTCACGTCAGTCYKGGTGTAAAAACCGATAGAAACCYTTTTGTTTGACGTCCATCCAAACCCAATTTTTCGTTCGTGATGAAGGTCTAGTTGGTCGCGTGTGACTGGGAATCGCAGTAAATGTGTAATGGACAACTTGTATCTATATATCTGCAGCAGAGTATTCACTTTGTGCGCCCTGCACTTGCCTGAGGGCTCTTGTTATATTTCGTGGTGTGTCACGGGAACTACCTAGATAATGACAGTTCTTGGGTAGGGGGTTTATACTATAAAGCTTATATATAGACCCCTTGCAGCTCTTGGGGAATTCAGGTGAATTTCAGTTGGAGGACATAAAAATAGTTTTCTAATTCTCAGGAGATTGAAACTATTTTGTTTTGTTTTCCAAATTGAGCYGTTTTAACGTCACTTGYAAGGGGTATATTGAGTGTCGGTACATCCTTCAGCTAGTTACTAGTCTCCCAGGAAATCGAAAATGATTAAAAATAACATTAAAAGGACAATGGTGTGCCAAAACAAAAAATATTTTACGTCGACTGCAGGGTAGTGATTGCAATGGCTTTCCTTTATTCTGATTAGCAGAATTTCCTATGGGACAGTAGACTGCGAGGTGCCACTTTTCCCTCCAAACTCAGTAAGGGCGAGTGTTTTGGGATTCCTGTGGACTCGCGTAGACTGGAGCCGCGCGCGTCCACAGGAATCCAACAACACTCGTTTTTACTGATTCTGGAGGGAAAAGTGGGACCGCTCGAAGTCTAATAGGACAGGACAAACCCTAATTAACTGTTTATTCATATGATATCGGGATTTCTTTTCAGTTGACAATGAAGTTGAAGCAGAAAGAGTTCTTTTCGCTTATGGATACGGTGCAAATGTACCAAGCACAACCAAAAGAAGAATGCAACAGAGGTATAGAAGAGACAGTGCATTAAGAAGCGTMGGGCATTCGTGAAGAGAGATCTCTTCTTAATCAATCAAATTGAATATTCTCGAATACCGGGACGCGCAAACTATGAATCATTCAGGTCACGTGGTACACTACAGGGCCCGGTTGTACGAAGGGTGGATAGCGCTATGCGACAGATAAATCTTATCCACTGCATAAATTTATCGGATTACAGCATCGGCTTATCCACTGGATAAGGCTTTATCCGTTGGATAGAGCTATCCAGGCTTCGTACAACCGGGCCCTGTTCGTTGAAGTGCAGATTCTTTTATTATTATTATTATTATTATTATTATTATTTATTATTATTATCATTTTATTTTATTTTTCATTTTTCTTTTATACCGTGAGAAACGATTTTCATATCAGTAGACCTTTAACTGAACTTTGCGCATGCGTTCAAAATCGACGGGCCAAAAATTAGTAGTGTGGTATTTTTGTTTGAAAAAGGAAAAAAAAAATTATGGTACTTTCTTTAACCGGAGAATATTTTAAAATTATTAGTTATTCCATTCGGCTCTTGCCTCTTGGCCCATCGAGTTCTTGGATTTAGATGAGCGAGCGACGTAGCGCAGGATATACCCTGAGAGAAAGGAGTATCATGGTAGCAAGCATTATTCTCTAAATCGATATTTGTCGAAGTATTGAAAAATCAGTCCTTCCTTTTGCAGCGTACATCTTGCAAGACGAGTGCTGCAACTCGAGCGAGCAAATACTTCTCTTAGAAATGAACTGGACAGAGAGTCCCAAAAGAAAGATCAGCTCGCTGAAGAGGTATGTTTATCAATGAGCTACATTAGTTAGTTTAATTGTATCTGTTTGTTTTCCTGCCTTTCAGTTATCGTTAACCGTTTCACAGGACACAATGCTTCCTTTTTTCACTATTTAACTTCCAGCTAACTTAAAAACATATTTGTTATAATTGGCAATCTTGACTCCTGAAGAAAGAAAGGAAAGCAGGCAAATGAAAGGGAAGGAAGAAAGACAGAAGGGAAGGAAAAGAAGAAAAAAGGAAGGAAAAAAAATCCTAGGGAATTCATCGGAGGACGGAAGAAAAGAAATTGTAAAAAAATACGTTTTTTTATATTTACGTTCTATTTCTCATTGTAGCTCCATAGTGCAACGTCATTACTGAATGAAGCACAGCAACCTTATAACTATTTAATAGAAAGCATCAAGACTCGCGATGACCAAAATCAATCCCTTGAAAAGCAGCTTTCACTTCTCCAAGATGATTACAGGTACTCCCTACTATTTTACCCCCGGTTTTTTCTTTGTTTTATTGCTATTATTATTGCTACTAACTTTCAATAAAAGATATTAATAAGTAAATCTTTAATACAGAAAATTGAAGCAACAGAATGAAGAACTGAATAGAACGAAAAATGGCATGGCAGCGGATTTAGAACGTTTACTCAACCAGAGAGAAGTAAGTAAGAAAATCACAGGTAGCTAAGGTTATATTTCCTAACAGCTACCAGGTGATCTCGGGGAACGCGTGCAAAGGATTGTTATAGTTGATCAGGCAGTCCTAGTTTCAGTTGTTTATCGGCGAACAAAGAGCTATCATTTCACGATAATTTCGTAAAAGAATTGAACCCACAACGCACCATTTGACCCATAGGTATTCGTTATAAGTATAGGTAGAATTTTAAATGTATTGCTAGTCCATAACGTAGCTAGGAAAGCAAAGTTTCAGAGAAACTTTTTCTGACTTCGGTCGCCATGTTTTTTCAATAGACCGCTTGATCAGAGATCACCTGGTATGATATCAGTAATACTTGAATGGTGCTCGTAAAAGGCAGAAATAAGTGCAATAAATCCAAAGTTGAAAACATTAAGTCAATAGCAGCCTCACAATCTACTTTAACCGAAGGAAGTCTCGTAGACAGAAGTAAAAGCCGAAAAATGACCAGAGAGAGAGAGAGAGAGAGAAAGAGAGAGAAAACACACTCACACAACAAAGGAAGTCCGCCCGTAACATTTTCCCGCGCTCTTTCCCGCGCTTTTTGGCGTGTCTGTTCAGTATAGTTTTTTGGGTTTTGTTTACATCGTTTCATTTTGTCTTTGATTTTCCTTTTGTGCAGGAGATGTCAGTCATAAAGCAAGTCGTTCTTGGTTTAAATCCTTCCCAAACAACACGTACTTCTACTTCTGTTCATGGCCCGTTCAGTAGAGATAGAACTTCAGCTCAGTCTTCAGATATTCATGTCACTGCTCCAAAACCTACTATTTTTGTAAGTAAAGATAAAAATATACTTTTTCCTTTTGGTTATTTGCTCTCATGGCTTTTGGTTTCCCTCTAAGGATACAGCGGAAGCGGGCAACAAAAACTTTACAAACATTCTTTCTAATTATATAACACTGTCTTTGGTGTACACACGCAGGTCTGTCTACGTTTGTAAATTTGCTTGCAACGTCTCTCGCAATTTTCGTTGCCTCTGAACGAAAAGAACTGATTTATAAATTACGTTAAAGAAAGAAAATTTTCGATAACATGAAAATATGAATATTATCATCTTGACAAGTTCATTTGAAATGAAAAATGGCCGAAACTAAGCTTCAGATACAAAATAGTTCATAATAGACTATAACTCGAAAACAAAAAACAGCACAATGGAAGTAATTTTATCAGTATATTATAATTATTATTATACCTAACTAAAAACGGAAGGAATTATTAAAAAATTCACTGATATTTCCTTTGTTTGTTTTCCAAAAAATTTAGTTAATTTCATGAAACAAGGTTCTAAACYTTTGAAACAATCTTTTACGCATTCAAAATCGAGATTCTTTACAGAAACTAGTTTYGCCTTTAATGTAGGCCGCCAACTTTTGAGTTAGAGGTTACGCGTTCTCAATATGCTGAAAGGCGAATCAGTATTTTAATTAAATTATTTTTACTTTTTCATTTTGCGAAAAGGTTTTTTGGATTCCTTATATCATAATTAAAAAAGGAAGAACAGAACAGAAAAATCAATTCTAAGCAAATATGTACTAAATTTTTAAGGTTTTGTAGATGTAATGTTTAGTTTGTTGATGGGGCGTAACGATGGCGTAGCGAGGTCTCGGTCAAAGGGGAGGGCAATGTACCATTTTCCCGCCAAAACACACTCGGAAGCACTTCATCTTTAAAGTTTCCCGCAATCTTCACAGCTGCAGTAAAACATTTTGCCCCCCTCCCTCCGATCCCCGTCGCTACGCCACTGCACACTGAAGTCGTTAGGCGACCACAAACACTTCTTTATGATTTACAGTAACCCATTGACCAAACTGTAGACGATGACAAACAATTCTTTATTATTTAACCGTAGACAAAACAAGAGCCTCCATCATGGTATAGGAAGCTGAAACAACAGAACACCAACAGTAAAGCAAGGTGAAAGACATCGATGCGGCTATATTGGAAATTGTATCATAGGATGAAAATTGATGATTTGTCTATACTATTTTCTAGAACTTTGAAAATAAACAAACTAATATATTCTATCGAACGATTTTTTTATAGCAAAAAAATACTTGCTTATAAAAGTAGGATTTACGTAACTTAAACAAATAGTGATTTTCATTGCATAGTAGAATTTTTTCGTCCCTTTTCTTTTTTTAAGAAAGGAAGAAAATCTAAATGTAATTGTCAAGAGAAAAAGTGAATGAATAAAATCAACATTTCAATGCATCTATATGTTTGTTTTGTCATTTTCCCCCTTAGGGGTTGTCGGTGTAGACGGTTTACGAAATCGTGCAAAGAAAACACTAAAGCATAATAACATCCTGTGTCTAAAAAGATGAATTTCACTTTCTCTTTATCTAAACTGAAAACGAAAACATTGCCAATTATCTTGAATATATACTTCATATCCACTTAGGTTAGCTATACTACCTTCCTTCATCAATGAAAGTAACTAATGATATATGTCTAAATTGAGGTTCGAACTTCATCTTTCTTAGTTTTATATTAAGGGTAGAAAACTTCTTTTAATAGCCGACCTTCGAGATGTTTTGAAACGCCCAAACTGGCCGCCATTGTCTGATTGGCGGAACAATGGAAATAGATCCGGAGAGACCAAGGACAAAGTGAGACTCTAGATGAAAAAGAGGGAGGGTGGGAGGGGAAAGCAAATAGGCTGTTCGACAAGACTTCTTTCTATTCTTCTTCCTCGATACACGATCCAATAGACTTCTTTTGCTTCGTAAGCAAATTGCACATTTTAGATCAAATGACATTCCCTTGAGACCTTTATGACCAAACTCCCAATTGTGGCATCACATGGTCGGAAATGTGTCGCAACGAACAACGAAGCTAAAGAGGTATATTAAGAGCTGGACTACTGCGCCCGGCCCTCCCTCCACCCTACAATTTAATTACAGTGGAACACCGCTTAATACGGCCACCCCGTTATTGCGGTCAGTTCTTTTGGGTCCCGACGAAATGCCCATACATTTACTGTAAAATGTACCCGCTTCATACGGCCAACGGCCACTTTTTTTGTGGCCCCATTGACAAACTTCCATACTTTTTAACCCCGTATTACGGCCAGGACATATAGGTTACAGCTTAGATCTTAATGTAAATACTGTAAATTTATTGCTGCAAATTGAAATCTGTAATTCTTTTATTCATTCGGTTAACATATTACAGTTATGTTTTTTGTAGAATCAACACACCAACTTCAAACAGAGAAACACGTAGTTGTTGAATGTGAGTTATAACTGAGCTCCAATAGCATCAGAAGTTTTAGAAACATTATTTAAAAATACAATATGCAATATTTCTGACTTAATTTGTTTAGTATAGTTTCGTACTGATCAATAAAACACATATTTTCTACAGCCCGCTTAATACGGCCACCCCGTTAATACGACCACTTTGGAATGTCCCTTCGGTGGCCGGATTAACGGGGTTTCACTCTACCAGGTTCGATATTCTTCATCACACCGGTTTGGCAACTAACATTAAATCATCTCGCGTGGAATGCAGTGCGATATGACGTAGAGAATATGAAGTTATTTTTTCCATTAATTTCAGTCTTGATAACGACGCTTTAGTACACTTTGAAACTTTGCTTTTTCATATATGTTCTATTTTTTGTCTGTATATATTTTATTGTAATGTTTTATATGCGGTAAAATAGGACTCAATGTTAAAAAAAAAAAAAATTTAATTTGAACTTTTTTTTGGTAAAAAATAAATAGCGATTTCGCACTTATACTTTCAATTATACTTTCTTATTTCAGTGAAACACGCGAAACTTGATCCTCTTTTTGTTTTTTCATTGTTTTCACGGCAAAATTGTGCATAACTGGAATTTAATACCATTTCGCGGTGATGATCCTCTAGATAAAGCCACAGTTTCCACGACACGTATGCACATTACTCCCCAATTCAAAATGGAACCTGATTGTAATAATAACAATAATATCCACTTTATTTGAATAGGATAATAATACATAGAAACAAGCACTAATAAACTTGAAGCAATAATCAACTGACAAGTTCAAAAGCTCCGATCTTAATAAACATGGCTGCCTTAATCTACAATTAATTACGCCGGATTCTTAACTTGAAAAGCGGCGAATCTTTAAGAGCTATTACTAGCAATTCACCTACTCATTTTTTATGTTCTCTCTCTTATCTAAGTGCAATTAAATGAGCAAATATAATTAATACAGACACTTTGATGTCTAGATAAAATGGCCAATTACTGAAGACGTGCGTTCTCTACGAAAACAACTGCTATTAAAAATAAGCTTTCTCGAGTAAATGAGTGGATAAGCACTTAACGATTCGTGCAAGCATTTTTTGCGATACTGACGATTAGTTGCAAACCGTACTTTCTGAGTGGAGATGGTGCTAGAAAAAAAACGCGGGTTTTTGAAATGATAAAACAAAGAATCGTTTAAAAACTGTTTTTGTTTATCATTTTCCAATATTGTCCAACAATGACAACTGTTCAGTAAACAGTTGACCCCCTATCCCGTCATCCTCTTTACTGAGCTTAAATGCCTTTTGCTACGCTACTGAACCATAGCCCTTTCATTTATGGAAAGACCTAACACAGGAAAATAAGACACTGTGCGTTCTAGGTATCGTAACTAGACCTTATTACAGGTAGATGAAATTAAATAAGACATAGACACAAGAGAATTATCAAATAACTGAGTTCTAACGCTCGCTATGATATATGGGAATGTCATTTTAGCCAATAAGAGTATCTAAAATGTTAACATCATTTGTTTTTCCGCGATTTTTTAAAAATTTGTGAGCTTATTATTTTATGAAAGAGATAAGAAACAGCTTTCCACTTCGTGACGTGATCCTACGATTCTTGTGTTTTCTTGCCACTAGCTCGTCGTGCACGCCAGGGAAACAAATTTTAAAGATTTATATTCAACCGGCAGCTATACAGGGGAGGGGACAGGGGGAGGACTTGGGTTAAAGTATCGGAAAAATGCTCGTGGGAATTGAAATAAAGAATATTAAAAAAAATTTTTTTCGATACCCTAATATCTTAAAATGGCAAAATTCTAAATTTCAATTTTAATTTACACCCCAAAATATTCCAAGTCGCTGACTTTTACACAAGCCACCCAATACCTCCAATACCCAACCCCAGACTTCCCTCCGGGTATACGCTGTGAAAGCCAGATTGATAACTCTAGATACATCTAACCCTTTCAGTGCGTATGGACAGGACATGGCTTTTTACGTTACATACTTCAAATTGTAAAAATGGCGAGAGCGAAAGTTCCTGATCTTATTGCTCAATTAAATAAGGGAAAACCATGATGAGGCGTAGCAATTCCAGCCAATTATCCCCGCAGCAACCGATAGAGGCGTCTTGGAACTACTAATGCAGCGATACAACCTACAACTACCGGCAGCTGTACTAGACTAAGTGACGATCAAAGATATCCGCTTATGAACGCCATGGTATTTCGTAATCAGTGATTCGTGACTGTTACGAAGAAAGGCGAGGGAAGCCTAACCTTTGTAAGCACTTCATAAAAACCAGACAACATTCGATTAACGTTTAAAATGATTAAGTAAAAACGCTTAAGCAAGATCGTAGCCTTCTATAGTCAAATCGACTAACACCAGCCATTACAATTAATTATGCACGCGTTTGGTAACCATAAAACAACGTTGAACGTCCCGCTATAAATAACGACTGCCGAGGACTGTCCACCATACACTGCCTTCATCAGCCAAGATGGTGAGTCTCAGGCAAGTTTTCTTATTCCTTCTGATCGCTACATACTTCAAGCAGGACGGTCTTGCAATAGGGACAGGGATGTGTCATGGCTGTCAATCCATCAGTTGTTGTCTTAGGAAACTTGGAATGAGATCTGACGCAGTAAAGTATCTCAGCAAAAAGGTATGCCACTTGATCATCTTTTTTATCACAAATTGTTTTTAAAACATACTTTTGTTTCCATATTGTTCAGAGAAAGACGCAAGGAAGATTAAAAATAATTGCCTTTTTTTCTAATTCTTTTCCGAGTCCTATGTTTCGTTCTCGATTTATAATTATGAGAAAGGTGCTTTTTAATTCTATAATATTACCAGTAGTTACGAGGCCAACCACAGACACTAAGAGTGATTTCAGGGTAGAAGCGGATTAGTCTTTTAAGTCGCTCGGTGATTTTACGATTGCTATAACGTTTTCAGCTCTCATTTGTGATTCTTCATACGATTTTGGGGGTGATCCATGATTCCGGATTATCAAAAACAGAAATTTATTTTTCTTAAAATTAAACCACGGAGATTCATGATTGGTTTTCATTTGGAAGTATCCTCACGAGAGACAGAATGTTTTGGGTTACTGACGATGATTTGGAAGGCGAGGTTCATGATTTCTGTATCACGATGATTCCGCTCCTTTCATCTCAGAGGATGATACCATACCACTTGCCAAGATCTTTTGGCTGTGCAATCGTCAATCGCCACTGATAACCCTTCACTTTTCGTCCATTCAACCATTTTTGAAACAGCTTATAACTTTATTTTAATATTTATTTTTACCCTTCTGTTTGTTTAGAATAAAATGAATCAATTCAAGGCATCTTATGACGAAGAACAAACAAGAATGCCAATATCGTAACCAGATTTAAATACTGAAAACACTTGCTCAAGTGTCGTCTATCAAGAATGAAAAGGAATGTATAAGTAACTAGATCAACTGGACTTATAAATATCTTATAAATCTATAGAATAATATAATAAAGTTTCTATYAAATATTATATCTCGATAATTGTTGACTCTTGAGAATCCTAAAAAGTTTGGAAATGGGGAGAAAATGGGGTGTCCAGCAATGGTGTACCATAGGATAAATTTGCCTCGCTGTTTACCGCCTTTCTTATCGAAAAATGCCTGGAAATTTGAAAACTAGAATAAAATAAAATAAAATAAATAAATGATAATAATAATTTTTTAAAAATTATAAAGATAAAGAACGGTTAAAAAATCCCTCAAATGCCGATGAGAACCAAGTCAAGTCTTTAATAAAAGCGGAATGCACCCGGAATGTTTAAATCTAAAGGGATCATCAGTGTAGCAGTGTAGCAGAAAGCCTGTACGTCCTATTACGTGTCATATCAGTTGTCAAAATGATCCCTTGCCTCGCTAAACCCAAATGTTGGAGTCAAAACATGTTTACTTTTTTCCCGCCATTACCTATCCCACTTTTCTGTATAAATGTCTAAATGTTCACTCCCTCATCCCACCCACCTCCCCTCGGGATGTCCATCACCCTGTCATCACACTTGCACTACAGTGCTATATTCAATATTCTAATACATACAACTCTCATCTCATATGCGTTGAATTTTCCCATATTACTGACATGAACTTACAAGAACAAACTTGCGTTTTCAATTTATTTTTATAGATTAATTTATTCTCACGAAATACCGCTACCTTCAATATTCTAATACCGGCATATCGTAGAACATGAACTATCAAGCTCAAGCTTGTGTAATTTTCCTAATTCAAATAACTAAAAAGTCAATATGTTTTTATAATATTGGTTGCATAGTGCAAGTCGAGTGCTGCCGATCATGGATTATTTTGGTTAAGG